CTCAAATGTACGATAGAGAATTCTGTTCCACTGTCACTGAAGTTCCCCCCTGTTCCGTGTCGACGCCGAGAAGTTCAAATTTTCGTTCAGTTTCAGACTTGACGCCAAGTGCTTTTTCACGTCGGCTGCACTTGTTGCATGCTGGCTATTTTCTTCAACCTATAAGAAAACGTTATCGACACGTTTTCTGATAACACTTGAGGCTTAGGTCGACAAACACGTGCCAAGTTGCGTTTTCGTACACAAACCGCCAACCGACGATCCCCAATGCCTTCCGCGGCAGCACTTGAGGCATGGCTGAATGAGGCACACGCCCTCGATGTAGTGGGCTGCGGTGCTGTATTTGATGCGTCAACAGGCAATTCTGCAATTATGATGAGTTCCGTGCTGGCATTCGAGGCGTCCACGCGAGATGCAGATGCGCGTTCAATCTGTCCAGCGGCAATGCCTCGCCGAATTTTGTCGGGCATTCCATGGCCACCGTCGTTTCTTGCCGAATACACAGCGCGTAGTTTTTTTTTTTTTTTTTTTCAGATGAATGTCTTCGAACATTTTAGCAGCTCAATAATCGTAGTAGTTCAAACGTGGTAGTGAAGTTGCGAACCTGAAGAATGTCGCAGAGCAGCCGAAAGCCCGAGCCGAGCGAGTGCGTGATCACGACGCGAAAACATGATTAGCCAATTTTCGGTCATTTCGCTTCCACCAAGGCATGTAAAGCGCTGTTTTTTTTACATTTCTAGATTGAATACAGCTTTCAGATTTTGCCGGAAAATTAAATGTTTGAACGTCTCGATACTGCACTTTTTCAGAAATCCACTTTTTTGCGATTTTTCGCCATTTCAAGACCCGTGTCTCCCCTTGAAGAATTATTTTGAGCAGTTCGAAGGAACTCAAGTGTTCTTAAAGAGATACTGAACAAAATTTTTGCCACCAAAATTTTCAACCCAATTGATATATTTAGTCTTGTAATTTATGGAGACAACATTCTAGGCAGAACCTACGAAAAAAATGAATTTAATGCGTTTTTTCCAAATTGCCCCATCTGGCGGCTGCGTTGTGAACTAGAGCAGGTGACGTTGGGTGACGTCAAACACACCTGAAACAGGCAAGCCAACAAAGCCAGCCATCACCCGCATCTCTCTACTCGTTCATCTTCCACTTCAATTCCCAGAACTGGTATGAACAGCAACAGCAGCGAACAATGCTCCTAGCTGGGGCAAAGCACCAGCACTTTTGTGAAAGGGGAAGAGTGCTACATTTATGCTGTAACGAAGGGAAAGAGTTGGTTGAAAGAAGTGGTGGAGAAAAGGAAGAGGAGGACAAAAAGACATGCATCCTGCGTGCGCCTCAGCGTTTCTAGTGTCGCGGCTCGCGAACTGCTACCGCGGCCTGCCAACTGTTCAAAAATAGGAGATCGGAACAGCGGCATCTTCCGTGTCGAATTTTTGTACAGTAGCCCTTTGAAATCAGTAGGGGGTATATCATCATTTGTGGCTGTTCGCCGTTGCACACAACAGTGACAGACATTTATTATGGATTGGATAAAGCCTAGCAAGAACAGTTGAATGCAGTTGCTTTTACAGTGACTCTCTCAAATAAATCATTTTTCTGTATTTCTTACTTTAATGTAAGTGTATTTGATTCTTTATTCTGAACTAAGATACTTGCATGCATCTTGGTACGTAGCCAATGCTTTGTTTGAGGGTGCTTCTGATAAGACGAACAATTCTTCATGGTCTCTTCAAGTTCGTTTTAACGGGAGTCCACTGTGTTTGTCTGCAGATTTCAGATATGCAGTCATTCTTCTAGTAGTACATTGTGCAGTTTTTGAAGCATCCAGCACTCCATGTACCTTTCTGGGAGTGAGAGTTTTTCTAACTGAGGGAGTTTCTTAGTAAGTTGACAAATCATAATCTGAAAGAATTGCAATACTGATATCCATCCCACTTTGACATGGACTTGCTTCAACATACTGTATAATAAAAAGAGCAATTGTACCACCCTTGCTTCAAACCAGAGGAAAATGCCCAGTGTTTACTTCTTGTCAGTCATTGTGACGTAAAGCATCTACAAGTTCGAGCAATACTGGCAATGGACTATTGCAGCATGTTAAAGATCTTTTCAAACAGTATGGCACTTTCAGCAGATTGGGTTGTCTGTAACGATGCTTCACACATTGGAATGAAATGCAGATCAATGTGTACAATTATTTTTAATGCAACAGCATTGTAGTGCACTTAGCAGGTCTGAGCAGTAGTTTTGACGGCACTGAAAAACTATCACTGATTTCATTTGTATGCGAGCATATGCTCATGCGGTAAGGCTGTTTTCACTTCCAGAATCGTCAAGTAAAGTTTTCACTTCCAGAATCGTCAGGGGCGCCTGCTTTTTTAAATTTCGAACGCCTCGGCTGTTCAAATCAATAATGCTAACCCTTGTGGGAATTGAGGCCGGCCCGCTGCCTTTGCGTGGGCTTTGCCGCCTCTTTCTCCTTTCTCATGTTCCGACATGTCTCCTTTCCTTCGCTGTCTGCCGCGCTGGGAGAGCGAAGTGACGTTTAACACCCTTACCCGGTAGCGGACGTTGACTGTGGCGCCGCACGCGGAGTCTCCCGAGAGGCTTTGCGCGCGCGCGTCGGGAGTAGAGATACCTTTCCGGGGACGACATAGGGGTAAGCACGCTTTTCTTTTCCATCCGTCAGCTCCCTGTAGGGCTCGTTCGGACTTCGCCAACAGCGCTTTGCGCCCGCGGCGAACGCTTATCTCATGTCACCTCCCCCCCCCCCCCCCCATTCCGAACTCTAGGCCGAAGAGTGGTACGGTGTAGTGCGCGGCCTAGGACACCGTACCGCTCCGACCCGTCTCCTTCCGAAGCCAACGCGAGCACCTTTGCCCTTGCTCGAGCAACCGGGCCTTGGTCCCGATGTCTCCGTGGATCACCTTTACCACAGAGACGTGCTCGTGGCACCCTGTGTAGTACTTTTATGCCTGTGGTGTGGGTAAGCCCATTTGCTTTCCCGCCGCACCTTTGCAACGGGCTGTACTGCGTTTTGGTGTTGCCACAGACAATAAAGTGTTGCGACTTTGAGCGATATCGTGTTCTTGCCACAGCGACGGTCAACGCGTGCCCTGGCTCGCTAAGACCGGAGCCACGCTAGTGGCCATACTCCTTCTGGATACATGTCACTACAACCTCTATCCTCTTGAGGACAGCTTTCTTTGTTCTTTCGTTCCTCACCTTATATTCCAAAAAAAAAATGTTGCCACGACTGCACCACATTTCTGTTGGTTGAAGGTTCAGCCAGGCCAATGTCCTTTGATTTGGATTAGTTCTGATCAGAATGGCAATCCAAGCAAGTTCGCAAGTTGTCACCACCAGATAGTGTAATCCACATTGGCCTTCCTACATCTCGTTCTGTTTCAGAAATTAAGTATTATGAATTTATTGCTGGTGTTAAACACAGAATTTCGCAGAAAAGTGTCAAATAGAATTGTAGTGTCAGCCGAGCGGGTTGATAAATAATAGAAGTAATAATGTATGGATTTGAATATGTTGATGTTCAGGGTAAGCCTTTGCCCCTGTGAGGAGGGTACTTACTCTGGTCTTGGTATTACCATATTTACTTGCATAGTGAATGCACTTTTTTTCTCGAAAAATCAGAGCAAAGTTGGGGGGTGCGTTTATTACGTGGGGTAAATTTTGTGAAAACTTTTTTGGGAGGATTAAGAAATGCGTTATTGGAAAAAAAAAGTTAGGTCGCTTACCCTTTCGCAATTGACATACGCGTAGCATACACTGTTTGGAAACAGCTTCTTTGTTGTACTTTACTCATATTCGGTGGTTGATGACGCAACCTTTCGCAAGCTGTCCCCAGGCTGCCTGCGCACACCGTAAGAGTTTTGCGGGTATTTTTTCTTGCAATCGTTTAAGCACAACAGTGGTATCCGCTGTGATCTCGAGGGGCGCCGAAAAGCGTGCGCTACGACCCACTTTGTCAACTTTGCAGCAACCTCGCATGGTGACCGTGATGACGCCGTTGACATTGTAGCAAGGTACCCCCCAAACTACCGCAAACAAACCGCCGATAACGAGATTAGTGACAAAATACCGCAGCCGCGTCGCTTCTATATGTGAAGTTCCTCTACGCGTGAATAATGAGCGAAGTGAGAATCGGGGTAGCTACCATGTTGCGGAAATCGTCACGATCATTTCTAGATGACGATCGATTTTTTTTATTATTGTTTTCTAGAAAGCTGCGAAGCGATAGCGACAAATGACCCTTTGCAACAGCAATTCCTGTCGTCGTCTCTTGAAAATTGCGTGAACGTGATTGGGCTTTTTCATATTCGCGGGAAGCGACTGTCGATCGGTTGGCGTGGGCAGATTCGTGACCTTCACTCGCTGTGTGCTTATGAACTGGCTTGCACCAGTGAACCTTATATGCGGCGCACAGATAAGACAGGGCACACAGATAGAAAGAAAAACAATGGGGCAAGCAGCAATGGGTGAGGGAGGGGAGGGGAAGCGAGCCGAAGTAACCGAGGGGGGTCGGCAAAATAATAAAAAACGGAACAGATCGAACGGGTAAGGAGGTGCCAGATGTTGGGTTAGCGGGACTGCTGCGGATGAATGTAGGGGGTGCATTTATTACGTGGAGGAAAAAAATTCAAATAATTTTTGATGACTGATGTTGGGGGTGCATTTATTATGCGTTTGCATTCATTACATGAGTAAATATGGTACTCTTCATGTGCCACTGCACACATTTTAAAGTTTGGTGTTTTGCGTCTTCTCGAAAAGGCCATTAGGTATGCATGCCTGTGAATAAAGACCAGCGGGAAGACAACACTTGGTACTTGTTTTCAGCAGTGTCTTGTGGTTCTGCTCTGAAGGCCCCACAGCACATTTCATTGTGCAGTCTGGAGGTTCTATTCGCCGACTGCATTTGTGCTATGCAGGCGCGAGTCATTTGTGAAACGAAACTGTACACATGTGTTCAGGCCCCCCTCCACCCCTGAATTTGACCCTACGTCCCCCAGCACCACCTAGGACCCAGAGCGCCTCCTCACCGCCACCACTGTTGATGCCGCAGGGGTCGCCGCTCGCCGACGGTAAGCTTCGTGGTTCCGAATTTTGCCGAATCTTATTTATTCATACTGCCAATCCTAAGAAGGGACTACAGAAGGGAGGGCAAATGAATACATCGCGTAATATGAACAGGAAGAAAAAGGTGACCACGAAAAAAATTTATAATAGGTTACAGTTTTTTCTAGGCGCATGTATACGTTTTTCACAAACTAGGGAAAGGTATAAAGTAAATTACTAACATCAAATACTAAAGAATAGAGGTATTTACATTATAATAAAGTAGAGCCAGAGAGTTACACCTGTGAGGAAAATAAGTGAGACTTAACAGATTGTGAGAAAGTTTCTAGCATAGGGGAGGATAATGTGACAGGGTAGGTTTTTCCATTGTGAGGTTGCAAGTAAGAAAAATTAAAATCTTGAACCCTGTGAAATAGGCATTAAGCACCTGAGCTTTGACGCGTTCACTGTGGCACGCCTTCTTGGGGTCTTTTTTTGCGTGTGCTCAAACCTCGTTATATCAAAGTTGCATATTACACCGAAATAAGTTCGGTATATTAAAAATATCCGAAAATTCATTGTGAAGGTTTATTCCTCACACTATATGTATTGCTAGACTATTCTTCATTTGCTTTGTTATAAGCAATAGTTCGTTATATCTGGGTTCATTATATTGAGGTATAGTGTAGTGCACTGCAACATGAGCTGCGAGAAGGGGGCAGTAGGAGTAATACACTCGGACGTTAATATAATAAACCTGGATGTAATGAAATATCAGTTATAGCAAAGTGAGTTAAAAATAGCCTTGCAATAGGTATAGTGTTAGGAATGCACCTTTATAATGAATTTTCAGTTATAACAAAGTTCCTTTTGTGCAAGGTGCAAATTTGTTATAATGAGGTTTTAGTGTAGTAAGATACAAGAGGAGCATTTACTCTACCGCCACCTCACACATTCGCTCGGGACAATCCATGCAACGTTGACGCGGGGTCCAACTCATTCTTTTTCTTTCCCCTGCTATTGCTGTTCACGCTTTTGCACATCTTTCTGCCTTCGTGGAGCTTATTGCAACACGTAGCGCCATTCGGTAAACAGGCTATTAAGTATGAAGCGGTATTGCAAAATGTGTTCTTTCCAGAAAAGCGGAGCCGGCGCTCCTGTTTTACTATGTAGGAATGACCCACCGGTAGGCCACTCTGCATATCTTCTAGATGCATTCTGACTCACCCACCATTAGGTCACCAGCGGGTCACGGCATCTAACACCGTCGAAATATTCTTCTTCCGTTAGTCATAACCTCTTCCAACAGGTACCTTCAAGTGTGGCAAAGTTATCGCATTGGCTAGTGGATCCATGCTTGTAACATTGCCACCGCATATGAGGACAACAAGGTGTGACCCACCAGCAACCCATGCTGCAGTGAATGTGTTACAGGGATACAGAGCAAAATTTTCGTTGCAAAGATTGGTTGCGGAAATCAGTACGACACAACCTTCATTTCAGACGGAAACTAGCTGAACTTGAAAGGAATGGAGTGCTTTTTTTGAAAACTGCTACTTCCAGCAAAACTTAACAGCAAGCTGGGTGAGTAGGTAGTTGAACATAATTTTGATGTGGGCAGTACCACCCGGACTGCTAGCAGCCACATCGTGTGTTAGAGGAGGTGAAGTTTGGCCTGTCTGGAGGCCTCCTGGCCTGCTGTGACCAGCCATCATTATAATCTCTCAACCCATTGGACATTTCCGATGGAGGCGGAAATGTTGTAGGCCCGTGTGCTCAGATTTGGGTGCACGTTAAAGAACCCCAGGTGGTCAAAATTTCCGGAGCCCTCCACTACGGCGTCTCTCATAATCATATCGTGGTTTTGGGACGTTAAACCCCACAAATCAATCAATCAACCCATTGGAGTTCCTAGAACCACTATGAAAAGTACCAGCCACAAATAATGCTGCCAAGGATGGGGCACGTCTCATTGCCTTTGTGGATGTCAATGGGAGAAAGAGAAGGGGCATGACCTACACCCTGTATCTGTCACGGGAGCTGTTGATGCCACGGCTCTCAATGGTGTGCAGCGAGTGCGCACTGAAAGTCCTCGAGAAATACAGCCACTGTGGAAAAGATATGAGACGTACACTCTGTTTATCAAGAGTTTCGTATTGTATTTACTCGCATAATGAACCCATCTCCCACCTTGGTCTACTTTTTATGTATCTACTTTTTATTTATGTATCTACTTTTTAAATCTACTTTTTATGTATCTGTTAATTTTATTTCAGTGAGATAGCCAGTGCCGTCAATGACTGAAACAACATGAAGTGATGTCATTATATAACATAACCATGCAATAGAAGTCAAAACATAATTTAATAGTGATACCAAACAGTTTCAAGCAGCGTTAACATAGGGGTTTGCTGCTTGCTTCCTTTCATAATCCAGTCATTTTTTATTAGGTTGGTATGTAAACTGAAAAGCATTTATAGCTGCTTCAAACATTGTGCTGCTCAAGGGCCTCCCCCTTTTTTTTCCAGGCATCACTGGAACATGCGTGGCATTTGCTCTAAGTCTATCCCGTTTATCAATGCCAAATGTACTTTTTCCACCCTTTCATTTAACCGCTTTCAGCAAGTTGGTATGAAACACAAGATTATCGGTTGGACATGCCATACAGTGCCATCATATTTTTTTAGATGCTTTTTTTTTCAGAACCTTAGTTGAAAGGCCCTGTGAACTTTTTCTTCCCACAACTCTGCTATCATATGAACCACGGTGTTGTGCTGCTGTTTGCACAGGCTGCGTGGAGCGTTGCCGCCCCAACTGGCGTGGTGGCCGGCCTGCCGGAGTGCCTTTCCTGGCGCCCCTGTTCACTACCAGCACCGCCTCACCCCTGGTGACACCGGTTGCCACTGGCACTGCAGGTGAGGAGACACAAAGTTCTGGTTACAAATTTGAGTATACACGGGGAGTTTTAAGGTACCCCTGACAGCTAAAGTATTGTTTGCGACTTTTTATAGTGATATGTAGCTTTGTGCATGCTAATGTCAAAATTGAATTGTAAATGCTCTAATTCATTGTGTAATTTATGTTAGCATCGTTAATTCCAAAGGATTTTGTGTCAAACCAGTGCCGCACAGCAGGGTAGTGCCTGAGACTACTTGCACTCAAGCTTCAGTGACATGGAATGCGCTGTATTTTAAATAGAAGTGACCTGCGGGTGGCAAAGAATGAAATAACATGAATGCTCCGGGCGTTTCCACCTTAAAAAAAAAAAAAAATCCTGGCTTAAGCGGGAAAACAACCTTGAGACCAGCCCGACGAAAACCTCGCTGGATGCCAATCGAGGTATTGCGCCCACCTGCCAAATGTTCTCCGATGCCAACAATACTTGCTTGACCTTTGCAACGTCCCACCGCTGCTGACCTGCAGGTCGTGGGATCGCATCTTAGCTGTGGCGGCTTCATTTTTGATGGAAGCAAAAGTGCTGTAAGCTCGTGTGCTCACATTTGGGTGCACGTTAAAGAACCCCAGGTGGTTGAAATTATTGGAGCTTTACTATGGCATCTCTCATAATCTTATGGTGGTTCTGGGATGTTAAACCCCACATATCAGTCAATCGACTTGTGCGATGTCCTGAGACGATCCACTGTCTCTCAAACCTCAGAAAATGTCTATTGAATCTGAATACGTGGCCGAGCACGCACTCTCACTTTGAAACAAAAATAAAATATCTTATGTGTAATGCTCGTTGCTAATAATCAGTAAGAAGTGCTGCCGCATGAAGGGACCAGTGGTGGGAAACCTGCGCCAATGTTCGAATCCCGGCTGCGGCGGCTGCATTTCCGAAGGAGGCGGAAATGTTGTAGGCCTGTGTGCTCAGATTTGGGTGCACGTTAAAGAACACCAGGTGGTCTAAATTTCCGGAGCCCTTCACTACAGCGTCTCTCATAATCATATAGTGGTTTTGGGACGTTAAAACCCCACATATCAAAACCTGCGCCAATGGGAAATTAAGGTGCAATACTGCTCCGAAAGAGCCTTTTTTGTCTAATTGGCAGCATTGCTGCGCCACAAGGTAGTTCTGGAACCGAAAGTACTGTTGACATCACGCATCGTGAGCAGATATTACGTGATGGTCGCCATCTTATACACTTGTGCTGCTGCAAAAGCACAGAATCGGCCGATTAATTATTACGACTTCCATACGATTGCGGCGGTGGCTTTTGTGGTAACCAAAGAACGATGGCAATGTTGCGACTACCGAAAACCGTGCCAGTATGGCTTATTGCGGATAAAAAGCCTACACAGTGCCACACACGCGGCACTATGCCACGTGTGTGGCATAGCGCCGCTTTAAGCTCGCTAGCCGGCGAGCTTAATAGCCGGCGACCACCTGAGAGTGCCGAGGTGCCGATTGCTGCCGCTTTAATTGTTGTGCGAGACTGTGTTCTGCGTGCACCGCTTTGCAGAAACAAAGGCAGTTCACTGTTGCCGAATTGAGCATTGTGAATCGGGGGCATCGAGAGGAAGCGTAGCATATGCTTTCATAAGGGGACAGCCGAAATGCTCTGCCGTCCGCTGCCAGGACTGCTAGAGCATAACTTGGATGGTTGTTTACTCGCAACAGGTTTCTCGCCGCATCTGCGCACAATCTGAAGCTGAGTGTGTATGCTAGGTAAATGAAGCGCTGCACACAACTAGACAGTGGACGATCAGCTCCCTGCGATCTTACCATGTCTCGAAAAATCTGCCAGTTTTCGCTAAGTAGTAGATCGTGGTACACACTTAGTGCAGACAAACGAGTATGTCCATTTCCTCGCCACGTCAGTCATTGCGTTGGCTGCACATTCCAGACTTCGCAGCAGTTTGGAAATGCTCTTTGGTGGCGCCACCGCGTGTGATCGGACTGTTGTGCGAGAATGCCAATCATTTCTGAACATTGGGGAAAGGAAAAAAATGGCTTTGTGGTAGGCACTCTAGGCAGTAGTAGCTGTGACACTGTATTATTCCTCCTTTAGCGGAGATGGCTCACGTAAAGAACTGCAAATTGGTAATTTAAAGGTGAACATCTTCGACAGATATCTGTCTGGCTGGGTGAACTGTCATACTACTAACATAAAGTTTCCTGCCAAGTTATAGTCCAAAGATAAAACAAGACTGTAAACTATTATTATTATTAGTATGAAAATGGTAATTGGTCATAGGCGTGCACACGAGGGGGAAGGGGGCACGGAGGACGGATAGCCAGCCCCGTACATTGACGTAATAGGGAGGGGGGGCGAAAGAGGGGGTCTAAAGTCAGCTCTATACATAGATATAATAAAGACATAATAACAAACCTTTGCCCGCCCCCCCCCAAAAACCTTGAGCACTATTGGGTACTTGGTGGTTAATTCAAATTATGTTTAGTGCGTAGTTAGCTTAGTTCCTGGCAGGTTGTCGGCATGTATGTACACATTAACAACGTTTTACTGTAATGAGCCTTGATTGTGTGTGTGCACACTGCTATGAACTTCATGCTGCAGCGAGCTTGTTGGTGCAATATCCTTCATTACCTTATGTCACTGCTTCTGTACATAATCCTACTTTTGTTAATTTTGGTGCTTATTTAGATGTGAAGTAGCTCTTTCACTATCCTGTGTAACCCTGTCCTTCCGCACCGGGGCAGTGCCAAGTAGGCCATGCCTTCCCTCGCAGTGCGCACTTGTGATGTCACTCTCTCCTTAGCCTATCACTGCTCACCTCGTGTCATCTCTCTCGTTTCACCCTCTCCACCGCTCACAACGCTTGAGCCCACTCCTCGCATCGGCATCATCTCACACGCACCACCTCTCTCCATCTGTCAACAAAAAGCCGCCGGTAGGCATGCTCACGCGCCGTTGTCTAGCCCAATTGTGGTCCCGCGGCGCCGGTAATGTAGACAGCGCGCCGCTGTGTGCCGCATGATCACGCCAACGGGTGGAACGCTGCCGAGGCATGCCTCCCGCTATTGTGCGCATACCTTTCCCGGCCATCGCCAGTGTTGCGGGTTAGGGAAGCCGATAGTGTTCGCGAATAGCGACGTCGCGCCTGGAACACTGACGAGGCGCAAGCTAGGGAAGCCGAACGCAAGCTTCGGCAGAGGAAAAACGACACAGGCGAGGTGCGAGTCAAGAACTCCGATAGCACTGAGAATAGACGGGCGAAGATGAGTCTTCGCCCTTCAGCTGGGCGAAGACGCTGCAGGCACTACTATGGCAGAGGAAAACAGTACAAAAGGTGGCAGCATCCTCAGCGGGGGCGCGCGCATTGAGGCACCCTAGGGGAAACCTGCGCACGCCTTTGCTCGCTACAGATTTGGTGTGACGTCACAGCAACTTTCGTTGACCCTCCTACAGAGCCATGACAGTTCTGGACATACTTGCGATAGGGTTCAGTCGGGAAAGTGAGCATTTGGGTACACTTTGGAGGTGAATTAAAATATGTTCTAAACATTTGTGGTGTCCAACCGTTTGTGTGGAGTGTCCTAGCATACGGAGGAGACGCACAAGAGGCTTGTTTTAGCCTCGAAATTTGGTGGCACTATCCCCTTTGAAGGTAAAAACTTTTTTTTACTAGAAGGGCCAGAGTAGGGGCTAGTTGGATTGCAATAAAGAAAGTCATGTTTACAGTTTTTTCCAAGCTGCAAAGAAAGCCTGCGAAATACAATAAAGACCGTGTCACTAACATGAATGTGATGTCACCTGTGGTTTCAACAAACCAAATCGATTGTGGCCGCGACTCTCCGGATCTGTTGCAGCGGTAGGCCAATAAGTGCAGTGGCTGGCTACAAGTTGCACCCTCACTTGTGCCAGCTGCCTGGCAACGGGCCAAGAAATAACCGCCAATACAGTATTCAAATTTTATTCGAAGTTATTTGACTAAATCGCTATTCCCTATAAGTTTGCCTTGAACCTAAAATTTACTATTTGCACAAGCCTAGTTTATAAGAAAGGAAATGATGAATTGTGTTGCCATTCACATAGTGTTAAGAGTGTAGGTTTGTGACGAATCTTCTCATGCAACTTCAGTGTAATGAGCCTTCCCTGTAGAATGAAATAAGCTTGTGCCTTGCACCGCAGTTGATGGCCCGCTGGACCTGTCTTCCCCGGTGGACACTAAGAAGCTGGTGCCAAAGTGACCTGCAAACAAACACATGGTGGCAACATGTGCAATGACTCCTCGCGAAACCGTGTACATACAGCCTTTCTTTCCTATTTATTGGCCGACCAGTTGGCAGGCCGGGCAACAAGCAACAACTGGCACTTCTCACCTGAGAAGCGCCTCCCTCCCCTCTTTCCTTTGGCCCCCATTTTTTATGTGTGTGTGTGTGTGTGTGTGTGTGTGTGGTGTATGTGTGTGTGTGTGTGTGTATGTATGTGCCCAAGGTTCCTAGCAGGTTTTTTGTAAGTAGGCATTCAGAGCACAAGCAGGTCTAGGTACAAGCAACCAGTGAAAAAATTATATATAATAAAGTTCCTGCTGTCTGAATGGATCAAGTGCTTCTTTTTCTGGTCACTGTATACTTACTCTCATGTCCATTGTTTGTTTACCTTGCAGTTTGACAGGGCAAACTTTTCAAGGAAGTTATTGTGCGTTAAATAGGGTTTATGGTATAGTTTGTAGAGAAAAGGATGAGAAATATTTATAGCCAACTTTGAAATTTAATCGTGCTTTCCCTGTGTGCATGCTGCACTAAGGTTTGGCTGGCGTGTTTGCTAAAGCTTGGCTACTGAATGGCAGAGTTTTTTACAATGTTCAAAAAGTATTGCAGGCCCGTTTAAAGTGAGAAGTGTTTGTTTTTTTAGTTTCATTAAGGACCTTACCAAATTTAAGAAACCTTCAGTTTTGCTCAGTTTTTTTCCTCAATTTCAAATGTGCAATTATTTTTTATATGGACACATTTTTAAAGATGGTATAATACTTCAAATATGCCTCATACAAAAATGTTACACAGTCCCTGAAAATTTTTCTTTGTTCTACTTAAGCAGTTTGCAACTAGCATAACCCATTCATCATCATCATCAACCTGGCTATGCCCACTGCGGGGCAAAAGCCTTTCCCATAACCTTCCAATCAACTCGGTCTTGTGCTTTCTGCTGTGACATTATACCTTATTTTTGATTGTATCTGCCCACCTAACTTTCTGTCTTCCCTTCGTGCATTTGCCTTCCTTGATAATCCAGTCAGTTAGCCTAATCATCAGCGGGGTATGCTGCCTGTGCACTATTTGCCGGGCCCATGTCTATTTCTTCGTCTTTATTCCAACTATGGTATCCTTAACCCCAGTTTTTTCTCTGACCCACTTCACCCTCTCCTTGTCTCTTAAAATTACACCTATCATTTTCCTTTCCATCACTCACTGTGTTGTCCTCAATGTAAGCTGAACCCTCTTTGTAAGCCTCCAGGTTTCTGCTTCGTAGGTAAGTACCGGCAAGATGCAGCTCTGTTATATACCTTCCTCTTGAGGGTTAGTGGCCGATTATTATTCATGATTTGAGAATGCTTGCCAAATGTGATGCAACTTGTCCTTATTCTTCTAGTTATTTCACTCTCATGGTTTGGCTCAGTGGTTTCTACCTGTCCTCAGTAGGCATATTAGCATAGCCGCCCACCGGCACCAGTTGCATTCACCAAACTTACTACTCGCCCACCGGCACCAGTTACATTCACCAAACTTACCACTATGAGGGTTCCTAGAAGCACTTGCAAGCTGAACGAGTCGCGTGGACTTACCAGTTACGTGTGGTGCCGAGAGTCTTATCAATTCAAACCGATGCCATGCGGTGAGTGAAGCAAACACATCATTACTTTCGTGCAAAGTTTCTTACCTTTTGCCGCTCTCTAGAATTAGAAATGATTCGCTCCTTATCTTTTCATCTACTATTCTACATTATTTGGCTAGCCGTAATATAATTACTTGTATGTATATCTGACTCACGACTGAGGACCACTTCTATATTCAGCAGAGTTTTAATTACTAATCCAAAATGCCAACAAAATAGGATACAGCCCAAATGGCAGTAGCAGTCTATTCTTTAGCAGCAAGAAACTTTTCATGTTTACTTTTCATGCACTCCAATTGTCCGCGACGATGTTCAACGTAACAATCGCATAGAAGTAGGCAATTAGTTCGCAAAACAGCTACGTAAAACTCGTCACTTGACAGGAAACGACAAAGTAGGAGTGCGACCACTCGAAATTGGCAAAACTTTGACATTGCGGACACTTTGAAGCCAACAATGTCAAAATTGAGTGAGACGAGAAGTTAAGAACGAATAAATGTGTGAGAAAGGGGGTCATTCAGGGCACTAAGCTGGCCTAAGCGTAAGATCAGAGGTTCGGAACCGTCTCTTTTTTTTTTAATAGAATTATTTTCAAACAGTTGGAAAAGGCGAGGTTAGCTACAACTCATGTGAAGTTGAGAGCTGATAGGCCGTCAGGTGGTATTCTACAATGTTAGGAAAGTGCAAAAGAACATCCTACTTGGAGATAGCGCAGCAGCCTAGCATGCAATGATGAAATTCGGTTTGAATGCAGATACTGGAGTATTCCCAATCGTATATTTACTTGAAACGCGTTATAAGGAAATTGTTAAAAAGAAGAGGTCTGTGGTGCGGCCTCACTGGTGACCACCTGCCAGGAAAGCACCGCCTCGCCGGAGCATGATTGGCCACCCTGGAGCAGTACTTGGCCGCTACTTCCCTTGTAGAAGTACCAATTAACCCATTCACACCATGGTTCAAATAATACACCTTGTGTCAAAGCAGCTACTGTTAATATAATGTAACTCTTCTCAACAGCCGCACTTTTTATCCTCAACGTCTTTGTAAAAAAAAGGTGTGTGAATGCAATCTTGTTTGTACGTGCGGAGATTCAAAAGCAACACCAAGATGATGAAGAATCGAAGTGAAAAAACTTGGCGCTGCCAGATGGAGTTTGCCAAGCAGTTTAGGTTAAGCCCCACATTCCATGATCCTCCATCAATACGTGGAAAGTATGGAAGTTCTGCTCCATATTTGTCTGGTTGATCTCTTTGTCACCAGGTGGCACTTCGTACTCAACCATTCTCTTTCACAAACACACGAAAAAAATTCAATGATTAGGACACTGCCTAATGTGAATTTTGAGTGCAGCTTCATGTCGGCCTAAGGCCAACTATCTTTACTGTTTTTGCTTTCTGAAAGGTATCTAGTACACCACAAATCGCAATTTTTTTGAGGTAGTACAGCACCCACAACACATTTGTAAGGTGTTAGTTGCACTGTGTCGGTGCTGCATCTTGGTGATGGCAAAGAATTATGGCTGAGCACTTCGCAGTGGGTGGGAAGCATTAAATTACTATAGTTTCTAAAATATACTGGCTATTGTGCCTTCGCAGCTTTCTGGGTGACACCAGATTGAATGAATGCCGGCTACTGCCGCGTGAGGCACTGCAGAGCGGGCGAGCACCGCAACACCGCCCGCTTCTTATAGCTCAGCGCGTTTCCACAGCATTGGTGAAAAGGCCGTTGCAAGTTTTGTTTTCATCAAACTGCAGTGGTTACTCTGTTCTCATGTTAAAAAGTGACCATGACCAGATGCTTAACGGTTTGTTTTTATAAAAATATGCTTACTGAGAGCTTTGGGCTTCGGTGCGAAGCTTAAAGTAGTCAGGCTCATTGAGCGTCGAACTGCCCCAGCTGATTCATGCAGGCAAAGGGAAAATTTTACTGTTATTGTAACGATGCTTGCAGCATTTGTTTTTGTGAAAGAAACTTGGGCTGCTTTACTTCCATGAAGTACGATAATGTGGGTGTACGTATAAGCACTCGAGCTCTCAACTTGCAGTCACCTTACCCCAGCTAATGTGATTAGGCTCTTTGAGCTGTGTCCTGATATGAAAGACAGAAAGAAGCAAGCAGGCCCTCTTTCATTTTCCAATAAATAGCCACTTATATGCTGTGAGGACTAAGTTTTACTGTCTCAATTGACTGTAAAGGCAGCCGCTTGATATCTCGTGTCAGTTTCTTAATTAGCAGTATTATAAGAAGTAAAGCAACATGGCCTTCATTAACAAAAATTGTATTGAAACAAAAGACAATACACAATCACATTACGTTTATATAAAGCAGAGAAGAGAAATTATAGTGGTGTGGGGGAGTTCTCTCGCTTGTCTAGCACCTGTCTTGTGTCCTCCTTGTCAGAGTACTTGTGCTATGCCACATTTTGAAGCATATATAAGTAATATAACCAGCTAGCCCAAAAATAATAGAGATAAAAATAATAGAGAATAAAAGAAATAATAGAGAGTGAGGAAGAAAGCAATGTACAATTAAACAGATGCAAAAAGACATATACAAAGGATATAGAAAAGTGAAGAAATAGAGGAAGAAAAGGGGGAAAAATCGCAAACCTTAGAAAAACATGAAAGCCAACAGTGAGCATGTAGATGGGGACGAAGGAAGAATACACAAGACGTAGTGCTATACGCATGTCTTCAGTGTTCTTCCTTAGTTCCTGTAAATGTGCACTGTGTAGTCTTCCATAATGCATTACCAGATAGCCTACCAAGCCAGTCAGAGCAAAACAGCAACCACAAGGACGATACCTCAATTGGTGCCCCAGCTTCACTGTTATTTGGCATTGGGCATTTGGGTGCAAGATTCGTAGTGTGCCTCTGCAGTGTGTTAGCACTGCTGGCACTCTTGCGTGATAGGGCCTGAGTTGTGAGGGCAGCTCGTGTGTCATTGCTGCAGTTTAAGCGACAACTGCACTTTACCTGAAGCACTTTGGTTCAGTAGCTTTTATTCATGCTAGAACTGCCTTTGTCTGCACCTTTTAGGTGCATCCCTCGTGCCAATTGTGTTATGATGATTGTTGCAAAGGGATTGAAGATAGGAAGAAACAAGTCATAAGCCACTATGCTTTTGTTGTAGCATATGTGCAGCTGTGAGTAACGGGTGCTGTAAGGATTTTGGAATAAAAGCGGAAAACATTTTGTGCGCCTACTGAAATGCAAAAAGGCTCGTATCATTGAGGGAAAAAGTTTATGACAGAACAAAAAGGGTGTCACTCGCAACTAACTTCATTCTCAGAAAATCGGCGGAATATGTAACCATAGCAACAATGCCTGCGCACATCGCCTCACATGCTAGTCAAAATACTCTACAAGATAGGCAAACGAAAAAAGACTCGAAGAAATAAACTTAAACACCATACAGAGCAACAGATTTATCACTAACACACGTATCTCCCTTCTCGATGGTACGTGTGTCTCTGTATTTCAGCAAGCATGTACCGACTAGCCCTACAAAAGGTTTTATTAAATTTTGAGCACCTTTCAGCACACTGCACTATAGCTCCTTTGCAATTTGGCGTCTTGGCTCTCTCTGATTGAAACCTAATTTCGGGGAAATATAAATAGTGTGTATTGAGGTGCACAAAATCATTCTTACGAGTCTGAATAGCGGCCATCTCTATAATAACGCACAAATAGCCTCGAACCCTACATCA